GATAAAGTAAAAAGACAATAAAGCAGCAAAATTTGATGTTATGGCTGTTAAGTTCTGTAATTTTATCTTTCCATTGATCAGAAAATGAATTTATGGTCTACGTATTTTCAATATCGTAAAAGTCCATGTAATTTAATTGTTCATCTAAGGTCAAAAGCAAATTAGCATAATAATGTCTGAACTGCACTGCCCTGAAATCCCCTGATAGGCATCTTTTTGACTCTTGCTATTATAAAAACTGTTCCCATAGGTTCTTGACCCTATTAAAGTTGTTCCTAGACTGTGGTGATAAGCTTTGCATGGGTAGGTTATGAGAACCTCTCGGAATAATCAGTCCTTTGATGATGCCTTTGTGCTGGGAAGGATGGCTGGGGTTTGTGTGGGATATTAACACTAGAGAGAGAGCCTGTATCAGTTCTGATGTTTGTTATCATTTCCCCTTCGGTTTCATGAACTTTGTTAAAGTTTCGCTGCTTTTCTTCAGCATCAGTTCTGATAACGTTGTTATATGTTTTAAGGTGTTAGCTGTTTTATTTGAGGCTGATTTTGTTTGCTGGTTTGTTTCCCTCGTTTTATCACCTGATATCATAATATTCAGGTACATTGTGTTTCACTATTCAGCCTTTTGTGTCCTGGGCATATTTATTAATTAACATCGTCTCTATGTTTTTAAGACCTATTAATTTGAAGTGCTATTGTTACAAGTGCTTAAATCTTGAGTTTAAAAAAAAAAAAAAAGTAGTCATTAACGGCTTTGTAAGGTGGCAGAAGGTTTGTAATAGCAATGTAAGAAGTGCACTTAGTGCTATAATGTGTCTTTGCTTTTGAGAAGCTTTGATCCACGGCAGTTTTCAGGCACCTGGCTACCGCAGTGGGATCTGGGCTTGGTTGCTATATTATAAAATGCAAACTCAGCTTGAGCTTTTTGAAAGGCAGCTTGCTGAAATGCACTGTCTAATATGGTAAAGGGGGGAATTGAAGGCAAGGGAGAAGTAATGAGAAATGGGGTCCCTTTGGAAGTCTACATAGGATTTCTTTGAATTTTTTTTTTTTTTTTTGATGTGTATTTTCCACGGAAAGCTTGGGGACACCTGAGCTGTGTGCCTTTGAATGAAATTCAGCCACCCCTGAGTTTGGACCTCATGTGGTCTTCTCTTGTATAGTTTCATCCATGCATAGGTACAGAGGAGCTGGCGATAGTCTTCCTTTTTTATCTGGACTTGGATACCTCAGCTTAAGGTGATTTAATGGGTGTGCATAAAGATTCCCAGCTGATTTTGTTAGAAAAAGGTGGAATATTTCTGCTTCAGGCCCAGAGTTACAGTTTGATTTGTTAAAATAATCCAGTTTCTGCCTGAGTGAAAGCATCCCAGTTGCAGGACCCCATTTCAAGGCTGGAGAATCGGGGCCAGGCTTCCCATTGCTTCAGGCTGGGGAAAATCATTTACAAACTGACAGTGGTCTGCACATTCAAAGTGGCAATGCAATGTGTCAGGATAATGATGAAGGCATTTATTTCTCTTGGAGAAATGTCATTTAATTATTCATTGGGAACTGTTTGTTGAACTCTGCTTGCTAGGACTTGCACATTTTGAACTGGTTCATAAGCATAGCAAAATACAGGAGGGAATCATGTTTAAATACTATATGACTGCCTGCTAATTATTTGCTTACTGATTCATGGAAGCAAACAAACATTAACAGGCATTAAACTAGCTATTGAAGTTAACATTGGTGAATAGCTCTGGCACATGGAAAGACATAAAAATGTTAAGAAAAAGATGCTTTTTAGGAATAAGGCACGCTTTTTTTTTTTATTGCAGCCATTAACTTTGAACAAGTTTTGCGGGGGCGTCATGATACTCTGAATACATGGACTAATGGCATTTTACATAAAATTCATAGAATGGTTTGGGTTGGAAGGGACCTCAAAGATCATTGAGTTCCAAACGCCCTGCCCCCTCCCACCAGACCAGGTTGCTCAAAGCCCCATCCAGCCTGGCCTTGAACACCTCCAGGGTTGTGGCATCCACACCCTCTCTGGGAAACCTGTTCCAATGTCTCAGTACCCTCACAGTGAAGAATTTCTCCCTAATATCTAATGCAAACCTCCCCTCTTTCAGCTTAAATCCACTACCCCTCATCCTATCACTACACTCCCTGATAAAGAGTCCCTCTTCATCTTTTATGCAGACGACATTTAAGTACTAGAAAGCCACAATACTCCCTGATAAAGAGTCCCTCTTCATCTTTTATGCAGATGCCATTTAAGTACTGGAAAGAAGAGGTGCTCCAGTCCTCTGATCATCTCTGTGGCCCTTGTCTGGACTTGCTCCAACAGGTTCATGTCCTTCCTGTACTAAAGACTCCTGATCTGGAGGCAGAACTGCAGGTGGGGTCTCACCAGAGCAGAGCAGAGGAGTAGAATCACCTCCCTGGACCTGCTGGCCACAATTCTTTTGACACAGTCCAGGATGCAGTTGGCTTTCTGGATGGCGAGCACCAGAGTAGAGGAGTAGAATCACCTCCCTGGACCTGCTGGCCACAATTCTTTTGACACAGTCCAGGATGTCCTTCTCCTCAGGGCTGCTGCTGAAGGGTGCTTATGGGCTCATGTTGAGCTTCTCATCCACCAATACCACCAAGTCTTTCTCGTCAGGGCTGCTGCTGGAGGGTGCTTATGAATTTGTATACACCTCAGCTTCTCCTTTTTAACCTTGTGAAAAGTACCCTTTTATCTCTCTTTTCTTCTCTTGCTTTGTTGCATATTTCTTTCCTTATGCAGGAAAAAAAAGGAAGAAAGCTGAAGAATTATTGAGCTCTTCAAAATGGAATGAAGGGCTGGAGGTTGGGAGGGAAAGGAGCAAGCTTCATCCCTTCTCTCACGTTCTGAGTATTCAGAAGTCACTTATGAAATTAAATACTTAGGTTTCATGAGTGGCTGGTGGGAAGCAGGGTCAGTGTCGTACTATCTTTAGGAAAACATGAATGCAGAATGGTAAGAAATGTTCTACAAAGATGCTTCACATTTTAAGCCTATTTTTCTTGGGGAAAAAGTTACCATATGTCCAGGGTTGAGTGAATTTCTAGCTTTATACTGCAGTAGCACAATAAAACAAATTTTGATAAATCTATTTCGAAAATATATATGGTAGAAGTGATTACCTTTCAACTTATTTCTCTGTATCTATCAAGGATGTCTTCAAAGGAATATCCAGTTGTGTGGTTGTGTGAAAAATAATTTTAATTGAAAATAGAGAGTAGCACTCATTTTTCTGCAAGCATTCTTTTGCTTTTTCAGAATGTTTCTGCATGTATGTTTTTTGGCATTAAATGGACTGCCAAGGTAGCATCAGCATCACCCAAAATAGCAAAGACAAATTCAGATATGATTTATAGTGGCTCGCCAAGTCATCCGCCAGTTTTCCTCAGGGCCCATGGATAAATCTCATCTGGTCCCATGGATTTGTGCACCTTCTGGTTCCTCAGCTGATCTCAGACCTGATCTTCTCCTACAGTAGTCAGTATCTCATTCAGCCAGTCCCTGCCTTTGCCTTCTGCGACTTGGGCAGCGTGGACAGAGCCCTTGCTTGTGAAGACCAAAGCAAAAAATTCACTGAGTTACCTCAGCCTTGTCCATGCCCAGGGTGACCAGGTCTCCTGTTTCCTTGTGGAGAAGGGTCCACATTTTCCCTAGTGTTCCTTTTATCACCAACATACCTATAGAAGCTTTTCTTGTTGCCCTTAAAGCTGGAAATGGAAAAGGAGCAGGAGAACAGTGCTTATAGTTTTGCAAACTGTATTCAATGTGTATCCAATAGGTGCCACCAGCAAAATAAGAAGCTCCCAGTGCCCCTCAAACGATTTGAAATTAGAGTTATGGCTTGTACAAATCTGTGTAGCCCCTGTTAATGGCCAGCCGTTAGCCCTCAGACGCTAAAACGGTGGCCAGTGACTGGGTTCTTCCCAGAATCATGAGATTACAACCTCGCAAGATGATGTCATCTAGACTGTGAGTCATATCAGGGACACACTGAACAACTGAACGGTACACTGACAGGGTTTGGGACCTACCTGAATGCTTTTTGCTGATGGGAAGGATTAGGAATGTCTCTGCATATTGTCCATATGTGATATAAAGAAAACGAAATCACCTTTTTGTGTGGAGAATCAGAGGTGTACGTTTTAATTTCCTCCCAAAGGAACGGTCCAGAGATTATATGAAATGAGACACTGGATAAAACCTCAGTGTCTGCTTAGCTGCTGTGTCAGACACCACTGAGGGCAGGAAACAAAGTCCTTCAAAGCAACGATCTTCATTTTTCAAAATACAAGACTTCTCTGGCCATGACATCCCTTGGGGCTGGCTGCTGGGAGAGGATCCTTTAATGTCTTTAGTAGTGACCTGGATGGCAGGACACTATGCTCTCAGGGGCTTTGCAGATGGTACCACACTGATAACGTGGCAGAGCAGGTCCAAAGGGAGCTGGTAGGCTGGAGAAAACAGGACTTTTGTGTGGTTCAGTGGTGACAAATGCTGCGTTCAGCATCTAGGGCAGAAAAAGCTGAGCTTAAGTACCAGCTGGGAGGTCGACAAGCTACAGAGCAGCTTTGCAGAAAAAGACCTGGGGTGGTCTCATTATTTTTTTATTACCATCTCAAAGAGCAAACGGGCTGTAGGGAAGGTGTTTGGGAAAAGAGTCATGAGCACAATTTTGGATGAACATTGTCTAATCATACTGAGAGTGTTCTATATTAATCACAAAAGCTACAGTAAAATTTTCTAGGTTATCTCTAACCTTGCTAACCTGTCTATAGCATCTCTACATATTGTTGTTATTCACTTGAAACGTATAAATTTATTGAATGGGTCGCTGTGGTTGGGTTTGAAAACAAGTCTCAGCATGAGTGCTTACTAGAAATTAATTGTCATTATAAATGTTTATTGTTCCTTGGGGTTTTTTTTTGTGTGTGTGTGCGTATGTGGCTGTTTCTTGCAGAGGCTGAAGGAACTGAAGCAGAGGGAGTTTGCTCGAAACGTAGCATCTAAGTCACGAAAAGATGAAAGGAAACAGGAGAAAGCCCTTCAACGGTTGCACAAGCTAGCTGAGCTAAGGAAAGAGACAACTTGGTAAGTGCCTAGCTGCTGAAACATGAAAAATACTTTAAAATAATCCCTCCACTATTAGCTGGTGCTGTGGGATGCAGGGCTGTTGGAGTCCCTTGGCTGGAGCCCAGCACATGCATTTTTATGGCGTTTTTGAAGCAGTATGTGTACAGTAATTTGATTCACACTATGTGCAGAAATGAATGTTTAACGTTGCTTTTTCCGTGGAGCTAAAATGACATGTATTTTTAGTTTAAAAAAAACTGTGTTCCATATATATTTCATAAAACGAGGCACATTGGTTGAAAGCTGAGTGAACTAGGTCATGCATTTGAAGGCTGACACTACTTCATTGATGAGGTGAGGAATACAGTCTGCCTTTCTAGGATGTAGCAGATCTCTGTGATTTAGTTTTCAAACTGCTTGCCTGGGAAAGCATCCAGAAATATAGTTTTAAATTTCAGTAACTGGATTTTTTTATATTAAAAGTTAAGTGCTTTTTTTCTCCAGCTCGACAGAGTGTTTACCTCTCCCTGCAAAAAATGACTCCTTGCTAGTCGTATGTTTTAGTATTGCATCTAGGCATATTATTGAAATTAATATTGAGCTTGCTAGCTGTGGCTGTATTATTACTTAAAGATGATGCTGACAAGCCACTGAAAATACATGTACCAACTTTTCACAGTGGAATCTTGGGGCAAAAAAGGCAAAAAAAGTAGATAGTACCATGCAAATGCTTTCTTTTTATCCAGCCTTTGTCTCACCAGAGAACTAACAGATAAGTCCAACCATATTAGTTGTAGGTCTTGTTAAGTAATAGTCTCTTTCTCCATAGTTTGAATGGTGGGCAGCATCCTGAAGCAGAGTCCCTGTAAGCAGGTGGATGGGATATGAATGTCGTGAGATCTGCTTGACATGAACAATGTGACATTTAATTTTTAATTTTTTATCCTTTGAGGATAAGTAGAGACTCTTTCTACTCTATCAATGTTTTAAATGTTCAAACTTAATACTTGAGATTTGCATAGGAATTTTTATGTTCCTAAGTTTACATATTATTCCCCCTAAACATACCCCAAAATCTGCATTTTTCTTATTTCAGGAGAAAGGGGAAAGAGGAACTTACTGTTTACCTTTTTCCATGTCAGTGAAGGAAGATTTTGCAAGGTTTTGTTTTTTCTGTTTTGTTGTAGCTTTTTTTAAAATACCTTTCTTCTAGTTCCTGAAGGAAAATTTATCTCTGAGCTTTATTTCTGTATTTCATAATTGCTGTTTACTACTACTTGGCATCCTTAGAAGTGTGATATAGACAGACACAGGAATTTTTTTTAACTAGTATTTTTCTAGTTTGGTTTTGTAGAAGAAGTCACTGTTTTACTTTGTTAGAGAAAGGATTTGTGTGGGGTTTTTAATATATTTTTTCAATTTATGAAGAACTGGACAAGGCAGGAATTCTCACGAGGAATTCCTTTCTCATAAAACATCTACCTTAATTTCTAGACCAAATAGATTATATTCGTCATTCTTTATCTCAGCACATTTTGGAGTCCTAAACAACACTTGCAAGTTTTCTAGATGACCCATCATCTAGTATTGCTCTGCACTGTGACATAGAATAATTTGGTTAAAACAAAAAAAATATTGTTTTAACATCGGTCCATTACTCCTAGTTTTGAGCAGTTCCTGTGGATCCTGGAAAATTGGCAGCTTAAACAGTTTTTGTTCTTCTCTTTGCTTCCTATAAGTCAAATAGAACAGATGGGAAGAGGACATGAAATGAAGAACAGAAGTAGACAGTGATAAATTTTTTCTCAAGAGGGATGAATCACTTACTGCACTACTGTCAGCTGAAATACTCTCCCCAGTATTATTTTTCCATGAAAGAAATTGCTGAGATTGCGATGGTTTGGTCTGTGAACACAAATAGGATGGGAGCTCCTGGGTGACTGCCCGTGGGCAGAGCGGCAGTCACTAGGATAATGACTAAGAGGGAAGTGGTCTATGAGGCTCTCTCTGTTTTAATATGTTTTGTAGGACAAAGGAATGTAAAACCTCTGCTATTTGTAGTAATGGTGTTGTAAACGTGATGATCTACTGGGAGAAAGAGCAAGATTTCTATGGAGATATACAGTCTCTTATGAGGCCAGCCAGTATGTCTAGGAAAAGTGAACTGCCTTGTAGGAATATTAGTCCTTCAGCTGCTAATTTCACATGAAGGAACTGGGGGCACAATATTTATGTCTTTTTTTTATACTAGTCAACTGATCTTTTTATAAAATATTGCATTTTTTCATATTCTAAAACTACGTATCCACAGATTCTTCCTCTTTCCTTAAAATAATCTGCTAGATACTAATGTAACACCATGTTTCTCTGAAATGTACTGACTTGGAGTTTTATTTTCCTTCCTAGTGCTCCTGGAAGTGGCCCTATGTTCAAATCCACTACAGTGACTGTGCGAGACCATTGCAATGATACCCCACAAAGTGCTGCCGTAGATTCTGACAACAAACAGGATTTCAGCTGCACGTTAATGCACGACGCACAGAATTGTAAAGACGTTGCTTCTGTTGTTTCTTCCACTCCTGGAAATGCATGTGGTAATAAATCCGAGGCTAACAAATGTGGAGATCAGGTTCAAGGAGCTCAAGGACATAGAGTTGGGTTTTCTTTTGCTTTTCCTAAGAAAGCAGCAATCAAACTGGAGTCTTCAGCTGCTGTTTTCTATGAATATAATGATGAAACGTCTATGGAACATGGACTTAGCAGAAGAAGTAGGTTTGTTCCAGGAGCATGTAACCCTCCGTCTCCTTCAGCAACAGAAATAGTCCTGTGCCCTGAGGAGAAAAATAACTGTTTTTACCCACTGGTGGAAAAATGCATAGACACAGCGGAAGCTCCTGAAGTTCAGGAGTCAAAAGAGCTGGTGAGTGAAGAAAGCAGGGTTCTAGAGAGCCCTGAACTGACCCCTGCTGTTTCCCATTCAAAGCAACTGGTGTCCTCAGACATGGATGTCTATGGCATTGGTGGAAGTGCAGCAGACTTACCTGACCAAACGCTGCCCGTGGCTGTGGACAGTGCTCAGGTCCTGCCCCTGGACTGCAGCAGGAACAAGCTGCAGGAAAACAGAGCTCTCACGCAGGCGGTTGTGGAAGATTGTTTATCTCTGCAGGATGTTGCGGAGGAAAATGATAAAGACAGGAACTGTGACTCATCCACAGTTGAAACTGAAATAAAAAAGCTGGGGGCAGATGCATTGGTTTCATCACCATCTGAAGAAGGTGGTAGTGGAGCCTCACAAAGCAAACCGGAAATGCAGAAGAGACTTTGTGAACCCTTTGTTCCCGTTCTCAGCAAACATGGATCAAACATTCTTCAGTGGCCATCAGAAATGTTAATTTACACAAGTACAGACCCATCGATTTCTTACAGCTGTAATCCTTTATATTTTGATTTCAAGTCATCAAGAGCAAATGACAGCCAAGAAAAGCCCAAGCATCAGCCGAACATACCTCATTTGCACCATAAAACTGAATCCAACCAGAGCTTTGCCTCGGATTTTACAAATAAACCTACTTCAGAGTGTAGTTACTATGACACAGAAATGAATAAAAATGTGTGCAACTATACAATACCCCTTGTAAGTGATGTTTCCCTCATCAGAAGTTGTGATCTTGCAAAAAATCAAAATAAAGTGTCCTTGGATGAGTCATTCAGGATCAGGAAAATAGAGAAGTGTCACGTTTTTAAAAATCACTTGCGACAAAACACTGTGATAGATGAGAAATACAACAAAGTCTGGGTCAAAGAAAGCCATGAAAAATGGCTTCATGGAAGTAGAAAACGGAAAAGGAGAAGAAGATTATGTCATTGTCATTATCATCACTGTGGGGATACAACAGCGGCAGAAATTGAGATGTCCTCAGTGACTGAAAAAGAAATTAGTTACAGAGATGAAAATAAGTATCAGCACCTCCAAAATAATGCAGAGAAGTGCAGACACGATGCGGGGAATATCTGGCTAGCTACAGGTGAGATGCAGTCACATCAAAAACTTGGCATTGAAAATGGTCATAAGAGAGTCATGTCTGCTTCAGATCATGTACATGGAGACAGAGGCTGGTGTGGCCTTTGGAGTGCAAAAAATAGCAGCCAACACCACAGTTGTAAACGACTGCACAGAAAGTGCAAAGCAAGCTCTCGGAGACAGGCCAAGCAGCTGGCTCTGAGTTCAAGGAGGCACAGATTAAGGTGCTCTAAAACATGTTGTAACTGGAAAGTCAGGAAGTCAGGCAGTAGCCCAGAGCATAAATGCCTAGGACACTGCAGTGAGGAGAAGAGTCCAAGTCAAAACCAGTCCATAAAGAGAGCTTATAACGTTCTGACAGAGGAACCTGACAAATCCCACCGCAAGCGGAGGCAGTATACCTACTCCTCTTCATCAGAGGAAAGCTCATACAGACAGACACCATCAGCAGAGGAGTATCTAAGGCAAGCGCATGCTTTAGGTACACATCACAAGGCAAAAGGGAAACGCAGGAGAAGGAAAACAAGAATCCATCATGTATTTCTTGACAGGAACTCAAGAAGCGAGACCTCCAGGCCTTCCAAAGAAAATTCTGCAGATTCTACGTTAAATATTTTGGGGGACTTCTTGGCTCAAGACAGTGTAGAGGAAACTCCTGTGGATCCCAAAGCTGATCATGCAAAAGATAAGGATGAAACAATGCAGCTGGAGGAAAGCAAGTCATCTCTAGAAACTGATAGTTCACACGTGCTGGAAAACGACAAACTGACGGCATGTGCAGTGATGGAGAGTGCTCCAGGTACATATTCTGATGTTGTTGCAGGTTCTGCTGCTTCTCTTCCTGAGCACAGTGCTCCAGCAGTTGCTGGCATGCAGGATGTTCTGCAAGATGAAAAGAAAAAAGAAAATGTCAACAGTCGCGAAAATCAAGCTCATTACAAAGTTCCCCTCCCCAACAGACATTTGGAACAAGTTCCTCCTAAATCCTATCATTGCCATTATGACTTGGCTGAATCTCTACCCCATGAGAAAACAAATGAGGTGACCGGTGAGTGGGTACAGTGTAATCCTGGCATATTTAGCAGCCCACCAGCCCTGCCATTCAAAGAAGCACATGTAAACAGTCATACCTTTTTAGCTACCGAGCAGTTAATAGCCCCCTTCACCCTGCCTGATCAGACATTGATATTCCCTCCAGACAACCACGAAAAATTCAAAGATCTCCCATCTGAGGCCTACATGCCACAAAACATGATGGCCAACAAAGTAAAGTTCACCTTCCCTCCCGCGGCCATCCAGCACCCGAATTCCCCGCTGCAGCCCTTGCCCTTGCAGCCGCCGCTGTGTTCTACCTCCGTGACCACCATCCATCACACCATCCTCCAGCAGCACGCCGCCGCTGCCGCCGGCACCTTGAAGGTCCTCCAGCCCCACCAGCAGTTCCTCTCGCAGGTCCCGGCTCTTTCCAGAGCTCCTTTACCTCATCTGCCAGTAGGACCCAGGCTGTGCCCGGGGGCCCACGCGGCTTTCGTCACCCCGCCGCATCTGCCGCTGCTGCCGCCCTCGGTCCTGCACCCCACCCAGCTGGCCTTCCCCCCGCTGCCCCACACCGTCTTCCCGTCCCTGCTGTCGCCCCACCCGGCTGTCATCCCCCTGCAGCCCCTCTTTTAGGACGGGCTCTCCAGGATGGAGGAAGGAGCCTTCAGCTCAAACGGTCCTGCTGTTTCTGCTTCGCAAAAACGGATCTGTGAAATGGACTGGTTAAAACTCTTCGTTTCTCGGGAAGCATTTACTGTAAGTATAACGATGCAAACCTTCATGTAAAGTTCAGACCTATACTATAACTAAAGCACTGAATAGTCTTGTACTAATATGAACTCTCTCTATATATATGTGAAAATCATGTCTTAGAATATGTATAATGTATATAAAATATATTTATAGTTCTATAACTTATGTTGTAAAGTATCCACTTTTTGTTTTTTATCTTTGTGTATTTGCACCTATTTAATGTTTAGAGAAAGCTGATGCACTATGTTTTGTACTATGTTCTCTGAAACTGTAAATCTAGTGACAAACTATCTCTTGCAATAAATTTTTGTTAACTACTTAAGTATATCAAAAATCTTTCATTATAAGCCTCGTGGATGTTGTTCTTCCATGTTCTTCTGCAGCTGAATAGCATTCTCTACCCCTGCCATGTTGGGATAATCAGGTTTCCTATACGTCAGTGATTTATCAGGGAGGCTGAGAGGCTAATACCTTGAGGGCAGCTGTCTCACGGAGCAAGAAGAAAAGGGTAATAGATCTGTTTGTGTTAGCAGTTTGATGTCACAGTGACAAATTTTGCCTGCTTGTAGTATGTGCACAAACTGCTGACTGTTGGAGCTAACCCCTTTTATACTAAACCACAGAAAGACGATATAACAAAAATAACATGGGGGTGCATGGGGGGTGGGGTGGGAGGGAGGAGGGGGGAGGAGGGAAGGGAAATATCAGTGGCAGTTTGACCTCAAGGGAATATCGATTATGGCAAAAAGGTAGAGCATAGGGAAGGTCCTGGTTCCATGAAGCATACTTTTTGAGATTGCACACAACCCTCAGTGGGGCACAGATCTGTTGGGAGTGAAGGTCCTTGCTGCCTGTGCGAAATATGAAGATAGCAAGAGCACGTGAGCATGAAGGGGGAGAGCAGGAACAGCTTTTCATGAGGAACCCACCAGGGTTTTATTCAAATTCTTACCTCACTTCGCCCCCCTCTTTCCCACAGCATTTTGGTAAGGAAATAGAATAACATAGAATAGAAGTTAGTAATAATACTAATATACTGCCATTATTTCTAACTGTATTTCAGACAATTCTCCCTACCTCTGCAACGTTTTTATTGCTGTTGAACCTCACCCAGCTTTAGCCTGGGAAATCTTCCTGTTTGCTGTAGTGTGAGATGTGTCAGGCTCGCACCTGCGATGGGCCAGAATAAAACCAGAAGTGGTTCTGAGATAGAGCCCTTTCTTTGAGTTAAAATGAAGTGTTATCATGTGAGCGAAGCTAAGGATTTGCAGCATAACTGTTAGTGCTAGAAGTAGGCACTCCATAATTAAAGGTAGGTGCTAGTTCTCCAATCAATTACTTCTTTTCGCCTTTTTATATAGTATAATAAAAGCATATACAGTTGAACTGAAAGAATAGTAATTTTGGAATATTATTAATATACATTGCATATTAATAGTTAAAGACATTATCCATTTGAAAAGTAATGCTATGTCCAAAAACCTATGTGTCTGGGAATTATTTTCTTTATCTATAGTGTTAGAACTTACCTATATCAATACTGCAATTTTTATTATAATACTATATTAAAACTATAGCAAACAGCATCTTGCCACTATGATTACAGTGTCAGCCACTCAAGGGATGTGAGTATTCCGTGCTGTGCAGTTACAAAGGGCTAAACTACGTTAATAAGCAAAAAGTTGATAAGAAGGAGCAGGTGAGCAGTCAGGTTCTGGAGAGTGGCTCGGAGCAAGCGGGATGTTGCTGAGCATCATGGCATGTAATGCCATAAAGAAGGTATATTTCCTCTAGTTGTAATTTCAGGTGAATGCCTGTTTCTGTTTATCTGGTACCTGAAAATTATAGCGTATAAGCGGCTTTATACTTCTCTGTTTCAAGAGTATGCCTACGTAATCTGTATATCTCCACTACCTCCTGTAAAATACAGGTGCTGAGTGAGGCCTAAGCATGGGAGTCTCTGTTTGAAGGTGGAAGGTGGGTGCTACCTGCTTCGTCTCCCATCTTAGCTGACTTGGTCCCCTGGGTTCTGATGTCTTATCAAAGACAAAAATCCATCTAATTATCTAACAGTACACTTGAAAAAAAGAAACCATGTAGGACAATTAAGATTGCACGTGATCATATCCATACCACTTTATCTGGCAGGAGATTAAGAATTACCAATCTCAGATTTTCAGTTGCAACGCTCATTGAAAAGTCCCATCTATTAACTTATAAGTCCTCATCTTTTCAACAAAATGTCCAAACAGCTTTGAACATTACTTTTTTCCTTACAATTTGAATTAATTTTTTTCTATTTCAATTTGTTAAACAATTTTGAGGCATTGCACAATTATTTATTATCTTCTGTAATTGCTTTTCAATAGTGTATAAAATTACAGTATTTGCTCACAGTGAAAAAACTAATAACCATCAAATGTAATAATTTTCTAATATGGTATTGCCTTTAGTGCTAGAACTGTTTGTATACGTGACTTCGTATGTAAAAGCAAAACCAAGATAAAAATAAATCACGAATTAGTTTAAAATTGAACACACTAAATTAAATGATCTAATAAAATACTCTTTTGAGTTTCTGTTTTATTATTAAGTATATAACTTTGAGTAAGTTATGTAAGGGCAGTTCTTTTTTTATGTTTTATCTATTATGTTTTAGATTAAGTGCGTATTTTTATTCCATAATTTGGTAGTTTAGTTTATAAGTAAAAATTATTGAAAATGCTAAATGATTGAACTTTTATCACACTGAATAAATTCTACTAAGTTTGTTAAATCTAATTAATACGCTTTTGAATTTTCAAATTTACACAGATTTAATGTGTCTATGTTCCTGGCTAGTTTGCCAGCATTTAGAATTATTGGGCTGTCTTCCTAGTGCAAACAATAAAAGTGATACACCTGAATTGCAAGAATTAAATTTTCAGACCTAAACCCAAACGAGGTTATAGATTTTGTTAGACTGTTTCCCAGAACAGCTCTGCAGAGAAATGCTTGAGAAGGTAATCTCTTCCACTGAGCTGAGGAAGAATATCTTTTTATTTGGTCCTTGGAAAGTTGCAATCTGTCCAGACTATGACCTTCTTGGGGACGTTCTGTTTCTCAGGTAACATGAGCCATAGAGTAATGGTCTAGAGGAGCTTTTGGGCATTAAGGAACATAATTGTCTTGTGCTGTTTTGGGCAGTTTGGTGTAATCAGAGTCTTCTGTCTTGTCTGTAACGCTATCAATATATGCAAAGAATCAAATTGTTTATTTGGTTTCCATCACAACCTAGAAGCTATGCAAGCTTTTAATTGCTGGGGAGAAATCACCGGGCTTCCAATTCTACAGGAGTGAACGATGGGTAGTCATGGATGTAGAAACTGCTGATCGTGGTAAAAGAAACACCTTTAATAAGGCATTTTTGAGTGAGAATATCATTTGGTGTAATCAAACAACAATGAAATCATTATGAAGCAAAGTCTTCTTTACTTGCAATGTTAACTTTTTATCAGTTAGTAAGCTTTTACACTCTTAAAAAACTCATTTAGCTATGGTATCCACACTATTTGCTTCTTATACAATATACAACATGGCTATAATTTTTTTTTTAGTTTATTTTCTGTAATTATGCATTTTTCTCAAAATACATGTTTCACATTATGACAATATTTACTCGATATGCTGCATTTCAAATACAGCTTTAAGTATATTTGGCCAGACTCTTAATTGGTGTAAATCAATGTACAACTTCTGTCTCCAGTGGAATTTCATTGATTTGTACCAGCTGAAAGTCTCTCATGTTGCAATATTAAGGATTTTGTTAACTTTTCCAGACTAAGGCAATACGTTATGACCATGTGAATGTATTTTGAAGACAGTTATTTGTTTGTAACTAAGGTGGTAAATTTTAATCTACTGGGTCTTTTACTGTGGTGCTCATAGTTGACACATTCTAAAATCCATACATTCATTTTCTGATATCCATTACTGTACGTTGCCTGAAGACTTGTATATATGTAGCAAAGCACGTATTTATGCAATATGCCTACCTGTTGTAAAAATTACAAAGCTATATTAACTCTCTTTCTTGAAAGTAAAGCATTTTTACTGTATAAAGATAATGTGATATTTTTAAATTAATATGGCTTACTATCTAAGTGTGTATGTTATTTTATAGATCACTTAAATTTAATGTTGGCAGCAGACATGGTTTTGTATATTACTTTATGTCCTTCCTTTTCTTCTTTACTTCTGGAAAACTATAAAGTTTTCTTTTTTTCCATTTATCTGAGTAAGATTATCAAAGTTTATTGAAATTTATATATTTATAAATATGAACCAGGCTTTTTTATTACTTTGAACTGCAAAAATTAGCATACCAACTTTAAGAATTATATGCCATCTTTTTTTGCTCTAAGTTTCTGTTTTATTTTATGGATTTTATAAAAGGTTGAGAGGATTCCTACACCAAGTCTGAATTTTGACCTGTTTGTGAAACCAAAGAAGTCTAAAGAAGCTTTGCCATTAATATTACTGAGGATTTATTTTGACCTGGGGCATTAGGGCTCTTTATTTCTTAAAACTCCCTAATACTTGCTGCTTTCAGTTGAACAATACTTTCATAAGGTATGATGATGAGCACAATCCAGTAAAGAAAAGTTAATCCATTTTAATTCCTTTATTGTAAGGATATTTGCATAATGAAATGACCATAAAGATTTATCTTTAAATTTTCTGTTATATATCATCAGTGTTTTGAAACACATACATGTACCTTCTATTCTGATACCAAAGAAAACATCAGTTAATGAAAACATTGGTTTTCTACCTGTAGAGGCTCATTTAGAAGTTCCAGTAAGTAGGACTACATTCATACAATATTTAGGTAAAATAATGTATTCGTTGTCTTTATTTTTGCTGGGGTAAGATGAAAATGTGCTAATATATGTAGAGAAATACATAATGATTAAGTGAACTTCAAATGTGAATCCACAATGGATATAGTATTATTTACTTGAATTAAAGAAGGTTACTGTTAAATCAGCAGTGGTGTTTGTTTGCTATGAATTAGATTTTTAAGGAGAATTTTTATCTTTTTCCTCAAAAGAAGCAGAAAACAGGAAAGTACATTTGAAAATGGATGTTTCTAAATGAACTGTAGATAGTACCTGTGTACCATTCCTGAGGATAAGAAACAGCAAGTAAGTATTGCACATTCAATATTGTACATATTATAAAGAAACATCGTGCATTTCTAGTGCAGTCATATGCTTGATTAGGCTGGTGAAATCTGGAGGGAGAATTAGGCTAAAAAATAGAAAGTTCTAATTCA